TCTTTCTTTCTTTCTTTCTTTCTTTCTTTCTTTCTTTCTTTCTTTCTCTCTCTCTCTCTTTCTTTCTTTCTTTCTTTCTTTTTTTCTTTCTTTCTTTCTTTCTTCAATTCCTTCTGCATTCCAACCACAAAAAACATTACTCGCCAACCTATTATTAAGGGTGAGACAAGGAGATGAGGGAGTGGGCTACAGCCAGAAAACAAAGTGAATAAATTGTAATAAATAATAATAATAATAGTAGTAGTAATAATAATAATAATAATAATAATAATAATAATAATAATGTAAAAAGAGAAAGAAACCAACCTGCTATTGTCCCGTCTTTTGCAATCTTAGATGGCCCAACTGCTTGTGGATTTTCTATCTTGTAATGCTTATCTTACACAAGTTGCTTAATGCTTTTCAAATTTAAAACCTGTGAAAACTTAAAACCAGAAGAGTGAAATCACAGTATCAGCTCCCAAGTTTCTGCTACATGTCTGGGCAGTCAGTTAGATGTTCAAATCAATGAAGTTGCTCAGCTTAAGAAAAATTAGTGTGTCCCTGGTGTTGGATTTTCACTAGACTGGATAACATTTATGTGATAATTGAGGTTCTACAAGTGGCAGGTACCTTGACTTGTGTACGGATTTTCTTTTTTTAAATTTTTTTATTTATTACAATATATTCACTCTATATGCCAGCTATAGTCCCTTCCCTGATTCCCTCCCAACCTCTTCCTCTCTCCCTCTTCTCCTTCCATGCCCCTTCCCCAGTCCACTGATAGCGGAGGTCCTTCTCCCCTTCCCTCTGACCCTAGATTATCAGGTCTCATCAGGAACGGCTTCATTGTCTTCTCCTGTGGTCTGGTAAAGCTGCACTACTCTCAGGGCAGGTAAACAAAGAGCCAGCCACTGAGTTCTTGTCAGAGACAGCCCCTGTTCCCCTTACTAGGGTACCCACTTGGATACTGACCTGCCGTGGCCTACATCTGAGCAGGGGTTCTAGGTTATCTCCATGAATGGACCTTGGTTGGAGTATCAGTCTCAGAAAAGACCCCTGTGCCCAGATTTTTTGGTTCTGTTGCTCTCCTTGTGGAACTTCTGTCCCCTCCAGGTCTTTCTATCTTCCCCTTCTTTCATAAGATTTCCTGCACTATGCCCAAAATTTGGCTATGAGTCTCAGTGTCTGCTTTAATACCCTGCGGGGTATAGTTTTTCAGAGGTCCTCTATGCTATTCTCCTCTCCTGTTCCATATTTTCTCCATCTTCTGAGGTCTACAGTTGGGATACAAAGTAAATATAAATAATGAAAAATTAAAAATAAAGGAAAACAAAACTAATGATACCATCTGCAGGTCGAATGACAACATTCCTGTTGAGGACAATTTCAGCCAAAGGCAAATTCAAAATAAGAGGCTGAATAGAAAGTATAAACATGAATCCACATAAATATAACCATCTTTCCTTTTGACAAAGATAGCCAAAATATACATCTTTAACAAATGGGGAAAGGGAAAACTGGATGTTAAAAGAATGGACTTGATCTGTTTCTATCACCTTGCATAAAATAATCTCCAAATGCAGCAAAGATCTCAATGCGAAAACAATAAAACACAAAACTGTTTAAAAACAAACAAACAAACAAACAAACAAAAAAACAAAAACCAGACAGAGTCCTACAAAAAAGGTGGAGAAAATTAAAGCACTGGAATTGACAAATGGGACCTCCTAAACCAAAAAGTAGAGGAAGAATTTGATTGAAGAGAAAGCCCTGAGCATGTTTTCAGAATATTTTACAGCTGTCTATCAGATAAAGTATTAATATCTAGAAACTTTTAAAAATCAAATATAAAGTATCAAGGAAACAGCAAAATAATTAAAACTAGGTGCTGGATCTGGATTGAGACTTCTCAAAATAAACACAAAACTGACTAAGGGATATCTTTAAAAGTGTTTAACATCCTTAGCAATTAGGGTACTGAAAATTAAAATTATTTTGATATTTTGTCCTACCTAACTACAATGGCAAAGGTAAAAAGAAAACCCAACTGACAACAGATGATGATAGGGATAAGGTAACATTAATATATAAGCTATTCAAAAATACATAAAATTATTTCTGTGTACAGAAACCTAAGTAAGTATGCCACAAAGCACAAAGAGTGATAATGTTTACCACCACAACAACAATCATAGTTTATCAAACAAAAGTAATCCCAGTTCAAGGCATGGGAAAACTTCTTTCAAGTTGTTGATTAAGGAAATCTGTGAATCTAGGAGATACCTACCACAACATATTTTATTGCTATTGCCTTTAGATACTCACAAAATCTGAAAGACCCTATTAGTGAAGAGAATAAACAATTCTGAAACAGAATGCAATGGAAACTAGCTGGAACTAACCTGGAATGATCCCTTCTGAGCACTAGTGGCTTTCACAGTAATGAAAGTGCTATTTAAGCTGCCTTGGGGGGAAAAATCAAACAATTTTTCTACTAGCTGTAAAACTTAAATAAAATGAAGGTCCATCCACATTTTTACTTACAGGGGATATAGTGTCAAACTTTACTATCATGTAGCAATATGTATGCCTTTCTCACTATGGCCCCTACTGGGAAAAATATGGCTAGGCCTAACTCATAACTAGTGTAACAAATGCCAACAGTGATTTATCTGTGGATCTCTGTGTCCCATTTATCTCTGAAGAAGAGCTGAAAATGATCATATTTAGCTTAACACATGGATTAAAAGCTGGGACAGTAAGCAAATATGGTTGCCATCTTTAAGAAAGAGCTATGGATATTCATGCAAAGAATTTGTTAAGTAATAGAAGAGAAAGGAGCTGTCTACAAGAGCAGGGACTAGGTCTGAAACAAACAAGCTCTGGACCTGTGGGCATGAATGGAAGAAAAAAGTTCTTGCTTTGTCATCATTGTACACTCAATTGACTCAAAGTTGTACTCTGAACTCCAGTGCTGGTAACTATAACCCTTTAAAAAGGATGATGATGTGGCAAGCCCTGATGAGAACTGAGAAGCTAAGGTCAGACAGAAGGTGAGGAAGTCCTTCCCTATGAGGGGACTAGGGAAAGGCATAGGGGGAGAAGAGGGAGGGTGGGTGAGACTGGGAGAAGACAAGGGAGATGGCTGCAGCGGGGATAAAAAGTGAAATTGTAATAAATAAATTTATAAATAAAATTAAATTTTAAAAATGGATGAAGCTCTGATAGTGTCACCGGGGACTGCTTCACAACAAAGACCATACACAGAGAGGACCTAGACCCCCTGCTTAGATGTAGTGCATAGAGAGCTCAGTCTCTATATGAGTTCCCCAGTAAGGGCAGAAGACAGTCTCTGACGTGAACTCTGTTGCCAGCTCCTTGATCATTTCTAAGTGGAGGGGCGACCTAGATAACCCACAGAGGAAGAGAATTCAGGCAGTCCTGATAGGCTAGGGTCAGACAATAGGGAAGGAGGACTTTCCTTATCAGTCGACTAGGGAAGAGGGATAGGGAAGAAGAGGGAGGGATTCATCTCTTCCTAGAGATGAAGGCGAGGGCTACAACTGGGACACAAAGTGAGTAAATAATAATAATAATAGAGTCAAAGTGAAAATTTGATAGAGTAGTTTATACTTCAGGCAGTGGAATACAAAAACCTGGAAACAGTACCAAACACTAAAAGACTTTCGTCAGAGGTTAAAGCACAGTAAATTTTTCACTTCACCAAGGACATTTATTCTGTTTCATTCTGTTTTCTAATGAATGATTGCTTTTGCCTTTCAACTTGATGTTCAATCTGAGACTGAGTCTATCAGTTTTCATTCAGTATTTTTTTTTCTTAACAAGAATCTCAAAGATACATTAAATAACAAACATAAAGACATGCAGATTTTTAAACATTTTAGTAGTTTAATTCTTGATTATGCTAGGTTGCTTTAACCACAGTCTTCCATGATTAATCCATAATTTGAAACATGCATAAAATACATTATCAATTCTAAGAAAAATGATGCATAGATAAATGTCAATAGAAAATAACATGATTTTTTTGCAAGATACATGAATACAATTAATCCCAGGACATGGAATATATATTCTCAAAAATGATAGGTACTTTTTTGGTAAACAACATTCACTGTTGAGAAAAAAACAAAACAAAACTTTTGTGCCTGTAGTAAGATGTTTTGTGCCAGTAATAAGAATCTGAATGATACATTAAGGAACAAGCAGAAAGATATGCTGATTATAAAAAAAGGTAATAGTTTAATTCTTTATTATGCTACATTGGCAGGGTTGGTTTAACAACAGTCTTCCATGATTCATCCACAATTTACAACATGCATGAAAATATTAGGCACCTTAATTGGCAGGAGAATGGTACAAATTTGAGACCAATAATTGGTGGTTTCAAATATTTGTGGAATAAAATTCAGAGGGAATGCATTGCATACTGAACTGTTCTCATCCTTAAATTAGTCTATATTTCATCTTATTACAGGCATACAATCTTTTTTCTTAATTTTTGCAAAAGAGTATTGTTCACCAATAAAAGACCCATCAGTTTTTAAAATATACATTCCATGTTCTGGAATTAGCTGTATTCTTGTATCTGACAAATAAAATCTATTTTATTGCCATTTATTTGTGCATCATTTTTCTTAGAATTGGTAATGAGCTATAAAATTTCAAAATACTATTAAACATTTTAATGATTATAAACACATGGCAATAATAGCAAAATAACTTTTTTTGTCTCTCTAATTAGTTATCAATAGACAATTTATTACTTTGACTTGTAGAGTTTTACACCCCCACCAGGATTTATAAAATGCATTTCTCAAATTTTTTTTAAACATTTCTTTTGCTTTATAATAATATTTAACAACTAGCTTAGCATGAAAAGTATTCTCTTACCTAGTGCTTCACTGTAAAACTGATCCCAGAATGAAAAGTCATACTGCTGGATCCAAAATTCAAAAAACAGTGAAAGTATCATATTTTTCACCCTTTCTGGAAAGGTCATACTGTCTGTTAGTTCACCCATGATTACTGGCACATAAAAAGTGGAACTGGAAGCTGGCCACAGTATTTTTCCATGCTGTAGCCCATGCTGAACCTCAGCGTGTTTACAAAAGGAATCTGAAGCACGTCTGCCGTGAGCTCTCCACAGGGAATGACGGAGTCTATAACCATCACATCATATTTTGCATCCCGGAGCTTGCTCATGACTGTCTGGTTGTACAACACACTCCTGCAAAGATCTTCAAAAACTTCAGTCAGCTGAAGAAAGAAATCTTGCAGTGTTCTTGCTGCTTGCCACAAGGACAAGTTTGGAATGACATTCACAGCTAGATTTACCATCTCTTTTAGATAATGCTCAGGAATCTCATTTTCATAAGGCACAGGGATATTCTCAAAGTGCAGTGCGGAATGTTGATTCTGATCTATAAGGATAGCAGGATATCTCAGGACTGTCACTTCATGCCCTCTTGCTGCCAGCGCCTCAAGAATAGTCTTTACGTTCAGCCAGTGGCTCATGTCAGAGGGCCACACAAGGACCTTGCCGCAGAAGCCACAGCCAGCACAGCACAGGTACAGCAGAAAAACTACTGCGGCCCATTTCTCAGGCACCATGATGTGCCTCCCCAAGTAGCTCTGCAGAGATTTGAGTGTTTGTCCATTTGCATAACAATGTAGATATAAAATAAATTAAATATTAACTTTTTAAGTTATGAAAACACAAGTAAAGAGATTTCTGTCTGATAAAACACCCACAGACCATTGTTTTGTAGACAGTAAGCATTTAAATACTTATGAAAAACTGGATCTATTTGTGAAACTGGGACAGATGTGATATTTTAAAATTAAGAATGTACTTTTCCCTGTCTTTTCCTACTTCCTAGGTCAATCCAGTTTGCCCTTCTGAATAAGGACTAAGCATCTTCCCTAGAGTCCTCCTTTTTTGTTTAGCTTCCTTAGGACTACAGATTTTAGTATGTTTATACTATATTATATGGTTAATATCCACTCATAAAAGAGTATATACCATTGTGTCTTTCTGCTTCTGGGTTACCTCACTCAGGATATCTTTTCTAGTTCCCACCTTTTGCCTATAAATTTCATGACTGATTCCCTTGTTTTTAATAGCTGAGTAGTATTCCATTGTGTAAATGCACCTCAATTTCTTTATCCATACGGCAGTTGAGGGACATCTGTGTTGTTTCCAGGTTCTGGCTGTTATGAATAAAGCTGCTATGAACATAGTTGAGCAAATGTCAACAGGACAGGAGCCTTCCACAGAAGGCCTCTGAAAGACTCTACCCAGCAGGTGATAGAAGCAGAAGCTAAGACTCATAGCCAAACTTTGGGCAGTGTGCAGGGAATCTTATGGAAGAAAGGGGTGATAGAAAGACCTGGAGGGGGCAGGAGCTCCACAAGGAGACCAACAGAGCTGAAAAATCTGAACCTAGGTATGCCATGCAGAGACTGATGCATCAATCCAGGACCATGCATGGAGAGGACCTAGACCCCCTGCTCAGATGTAACCCATAGGCAGCTCAGTCTCCATGGAGGTTCTCTAGTAAGGGGAGCAGAGGGTGTCACTGGTATGAGCTTGGGTACCTGCTCTTTGATCAACCTCTCTGGGCCACAGAGAAAGAAGATCCAGACAGTCCTGAATAGACCTGATTGCCTGGAGTCAAATATTAGGTGAGTAGGACCTCTTTGATCAACTTCCCCTGAGGGTTGCAGCCTTGCTAGGCCACAGAGGATAACAATGCAGCCAGTCTGGATGAGACCTGATAGGCTAGGATAAAAAAGAATGGGAGGAGGACCTCCCCAATGAGTGCAATAGAGGAGGGGCTTAGGGAGAGAAGAGAGAAAGAGGGTGGGATGGGAGGAGATTAGGAAGGGGGACAGCCATGATAAAAAGTAAATAAATTGTAATAAATAATAAATTAAAAAAACAAAAGAAAATAAACCAGATTCCATTAAAAATAAATAAAATTAAGAATGTAATGTAGCAGGCATACCAGCTGAGTGTCAGAAAGGGAGCTACATAAAAGTTATTAAGGAAAATGAGTAAGAAAATATATGCTAAATATAAATGATGTTGGAATTATGATCACTGGAGTGGAAAGTTCTCATTTTACAGTATGAATCACAGAGTATGCAAGAAGAAGCCCTGTTCAAATAGGAGGCTCTGAGACTCTTAATATTATGCTATGAGTTTATTTTCAATCTCTAAGAAAAATGTGTCAGGGAGAATATATCTTGGTCTGTGAATGGAACCATAGGGTTAGAGTTCTTATGACTGATGAAAAGTGATAGTTAATTGGTGTTTTTAGAAAATGGCTGATGCCACATGCCTGCAATCCTAGCACTTCAGGAAGGGTACAGATGTCAATGGGAGTCAACCCCTGATAGTGTCTGGAGGGTCAGGAACCAAAGGTAGGATAGCCCAAAGATTTAGGATAGAACCAAACATCAGTGGTCAAAAAAAAATAATAATAATAGCAGGGGGCGGGGCAAGATGGCAGCACCAGGAGGACTCTCATTCTGAGCAGCAGCACAGCAGGATTGGCAAAGTGACCAGAAATCAGAACTCGCGGCCATAAAACACAAGTGATTGTGTTTCACAGGTGAGAGGATACCCCACGGTGGGGGATTCAATCAGCTTTAACTCACCCTGCTAAACTGCGGAAGAGATCCTGGTTCCTCCAGGCGCTTGGTTGCCAGCCCAGAGCTACACGCCAGTGTGATCTGGTCACTGTTTCAGACTGAACTGTGGGACCAGAACATCACAGACTGGATTTTCCAGTCGAGAGATAACCCCACGGAGCAAGAAACGATTGGGACCGACCTTAGGTCACCCAGACATCCTGTGGAAAAGACTCGCTTTCCACGGGCGCCCCAGGAGCCATCCCGGAGCCAGAGCCAGGGACCCAGGTGTGAGCACAGAGACCTGCCTGCGGGCCTGATTCGGCGCCTCAGATAGAACTATGGGCCCAGGGCACCAGGGCACCAGAGCACCAGAGGACTGCGTTTCACTGTCAGGTGCAAACCCAATGGGAGGGAAACGGCTGGTCTGATCTCAGAGCACTCAGCCGACACCCCCACCCTGAAAGGTCTCAGGAAAATTATCCAGTTTAGGCAGACAACCAGGCCCCCAAAGGCCAGAAAGGCAGAGCCACAGGCAGGCATCTGTGCCTGTGGGTTCTACTCGCCACCCCAGACAGAACATTGGTCCCCAAAGCAAAGACTGGGTGTCTCTGACAAAAGGAAACACCCAGCAGAGGGGATCATCAGGTCTAACGCTCAGGACACCCAGCACCAAAAGACTTTCTGGATTCACAAAGACTCTAGGCTCTAGCTTTCAAATGCAGGCAGGAGCGCTGTGCTCAGCCGCCATTATTGAGTTTCCCTAGGGCACTGGGACATGCAGCTGCATCCTCAGACCTACAAAAGCCAGAGAGCCATTACAGCAGCCCTCAGATACTGTGCCAAGGATCAACCAGTTATTCCTAGCTAGACTGTCAAAACTGTGGGAATCCCTGGTCCTTCAAGAGGGCTGCACCCACAGCCTCTGGAACAGAGCAGTGACTGCAGCCGCCATCCCAGACAGAGACACACAGCTTCTGGTCCAGAGTGAAGCACCCAGCCTCCAGACCAGAGCGGGGCCCCCAGGCGCCAACTCAACCTAGGTGCACATTCTCCAGGCCCAGAGCAGAGCACTCAGCCTCTGGCCCAGAGACTTGCTGGGCACACCTCTAACTTTCTCAGACATAACTGTGTACTCCAGGATAACAGACTGAATTTCCCTGTTGGGAGAAAACCCCACAGCCAGGGAATCAGAAGGTTCTTCAAGAGGACTGTACCTGTAAAACTGTAACAGCAGCAGCTCACTAAATTTATAACAAGAAACCCAGTAGTGGGGCAGCTGTCTTGAGAACTTCTATGGGTAAGAGGAGATCCCCCCTGCTTAACAAAGACCACAGCTACTACTCAGGGCTATACACCTGAGGTGAGCAGTGGCAATTCCTGAGAAACACTGGCCACACAGTGACCATAACCAAAAAGCAGAGGGGACTCCTTTAGGAATCCTCCGACCAAGGGGATTCTCCCAACCTTAGGACTCCAAGAAGCACAGAAACCAACAGCCAACACCTAAAACAGCCCAATGGGTAGAGGTCAGCGTAAAAGCTCAACCAAAAAAAGACAGAGCAATATGGCATCTCCAGAACCCAACCATCCAGGGGAGAACAGCCCTGGTCATCGCAGCATAATAGAAAATCAGTAAGATGACCTTACATCTATGCTGATAAAGAGGATAATAGAGGAAACAAATAAAATGCGTAAAGAATTAGAGGAAGATGAAACCAAACAGATCATGGCTATCCATAAAGAAATGGAGGAAGTTAAAGACAAGCAGATTATGGCCATCCATGAAGAAATACGGGAAGATGCAGCCAAACAGCTTGCAGCCTTCAGAGAAGAAATAATTAAATCACTGAAAGAAATAAAAGAAACAGAGTTGAAGGAACTAAAAGAAAAAGAGGAAAATACAACCAGACAGGTGAAGGAAGTAAACTAAACAACTCAAGACCTGAAGATAGAAATGGAAAAATGAAAGAAAACACAAATGGAGGAAATAATGGAGAGGAAGAATTTAGGGAAGAAAACAGGAACTACAGAAGTAAGCATAACCAACAGACTACAAAAGATGGAAGAAAGAATCTCAGGTGTAGAAGATACAATGGAAGAAATCGATGTATCTGTCAAACAAAATGTTAAATCCAAAAAATGCCTGACACAGACCATCCAAGAAATCCAAGACAATATGAAAAGACAAAACCTAAGAATAATAGGTATAGAGGAAAAAGAAGACTCCCTTCTCCAAGGCCCAGAAAATATTTTCAACAAAATCACTGAAGAAAATTTCCCGAAGTTAAAGGAGAGGCAAATAAGAATACATGAGGCCTACAGAACACCCAACAAATTTGACCAGAAAAGAAAATCCTCCCGCCACATAATAATCAAAACAGTAAATATACAGAACAAAGAAAAAATACTAAAAGCTGCAAGGGAAAAAGGCCAAGTAACATAAAATGGAAAAGCCATTAGAATTACACCTGACTTTTCAACGGAGACTATGAAAGCCAGAAGGGCCTGGGCAGATATCATGCAGACCCTAAGAGAACACAGATGTCAGCCCAGGCTACTATACCCTGCAAAACTCTCAGTCCTCATAGACGGAGAAAACAAGATATTCAATGACAAAAACAAATTTCAACGATACCTACACACAAATCCAGCATTACAGAAGACACTGGAAGGGAAAACACAACCCAAGAAAATTAGCTTCTGTCAAGAAAACACAGGAAATATTTACCTTGCTACAGTAAAACAAAAAGCAACCAAGCACACAACCTTATGACCACAGCGGGGCCATCAAAATCAAAAGATCTAACAGCCAGTGGTCATTAATCTCTCTCAACATCAATGGACTCAACTCTCCAGTAAAATCCACCAAGAAGACATCACAATCCTGAACATCTATGCCCCAAATACAAGAGCACCCACATTTGTAAAAGAAACAT